GCCCAGCGTCGACGTCAGATTCAACAAGAGAGGCGGAGCCGGTCTCCTTCTCGGCCTCCTCGACGTCAGACTGACCTGACCCGAGGTCGATGATCTCGATCGTGGGGAAGTCTGGATGTTCCCCACGGAGCGGACCCGCCGCCGCCGTCGCCGGCATCACGCGGACAGCCGAAATCGGGATGACTCTGAGCGGCTACACCGCCCCAGTCGCCGGAGGGGAATAGAGGACCAGCTCCCCCGTCTCCTCCGCCGCGACGCCCTCGCCTCCGGCAGGCAGATTCGACGCAGAACCAGAGAAATTCGACATAATCGAAGAAGAAAAGCAAAAGATAAGAAGGGGAAATGGAATTACCGGTGTGAAGATCACTGAAAAGTCGCAAAAATCTCGAAAAACGCCTTAAAATCTTGCTCGGAAATTCGGTTGCTCGGAGGTTCAGTCGCTCGAAAATTGCAGAGGTTGTAAAAGCCTCCCAAGGAAGACGATGGCCCATATATATACGCACTAAGGACCAATCACTACACCACACGTGGCACATGATTTGAATTTCAAAATGTATGGCGTGATCCAACGACTGGTAGAGAAACGATCCAACGGTTCATAGACAACCGCGTAGGTGTCATGCGCCCCAAAAGCCGCCGCTTCACTGAAACGACACGCCGCTTGACGCGGACGAATCAACGAACGACACGTGCAAAGGTTCTGAACAGGCGCGACTTTTCATAACCGACAGAAAGCGTAACGGTCACGACGCATTAAATGGCCCGTCGCTTCGTGTCCGGAGAGGACATGTGTAGGTGACGGAAAATAATTTTGCAAAGTAGGGGTTACGCGCCGACCTCGGATGTACTCCTAAATAGCGACCTCACAGAGGATGCCGAGGGCACCCTCTCCAAGCTCGGGGGCCTGTATGTTGACACCCGAGTTCGTCCCTAAAGGGAACCGGACATGGCAGCTTCGAAAATCGGACCAGAGACCCGGTCGAGTGCAGAGGTGCCGAGCTGGACCGCGAAGTTGATTGACCCTGATACCCCCGCGGGTCCATTCATTGGCCCGGCATTTATGACAGTTCAGTGCGGGTGCCGGTCTGATAAGTGCCGAGCTGAAGGGAGGCTCCCCGGGACCGAAGGAGCAAAATGGAACGGATCTCCAATGACGGGTGTCGATCACGATAACAATATGATAATGCCACTTGAAGAGCAATCATTGGTGATTTGGTAGGGGGTCCTAGTCTGCAGGCCTACGTCTGCTAGCCAAGACATAAAGCCTGTCAGCATTAAATGACCTCCATGTGTGCATTAAATGTCTATCAGGCAATGATGAGAAAAACCTCAAATCGCATTGAATTCTGTCAGGGAGGCGCTGGACTGTTCTGCAAGGACACTGTACGACAAGACCGGTGAACAGTACCTGAACAGTGCCACATTTAAGACCACTATAAATAGCAGCCTACTTCATTTAATTTTGGGTTGTTGAATTCCCAACTTTCAGACTCTCTCTCTCTCTACTTTCTCTCTCTAGACTCGTGTAAAAGCTTTGTAAAAATTAAGGATATTGCAAGTGCCGACCTCGTACGAGAGGCCGACCTCGTGATTTATTAATAAAATCATAATTAAACCGTATTTCTTTGTCTTTTCCCCGTTATCTTTTTATTACCCATCTTTTTAATCGTTGACCGGAAACGTCCATCAACACATGTTAAGGAAAATGTTTCGATTTTTCTACCAAAGGGGGAGATTGTAAGTTCTGAAGATTGGCAGTAAATCGACGAACCTTCTTGAGTTCCCAAGATTCAAAATCGCAAGAATATATAAAAGGGAAGTTTAATTTAAATTGCTTAAACGTGTTTGCTAATTAGATTTGATTACTGATTATTCATAATTGTGATGGCAGGACTTTGGGAACAAGCTCGAGATTCACATTCCAGGAGAGATCGTGAGTCACTTATGATCACCTTCCATGTGCACCTGCTTACCATAATACGCGAGATCCAAATTGAGCAATCTGGACTTTCCAAAGTATGATATGACTTGGCTAGGAAGATAAAGGAAGAACTTACCATTTGAGGATGTGGATAAAAGAATGACGAGACTATGTTGAGGAGTACTTTTTTTTCGATGACCTAAATTGTTGCTAAAAAAAATAATTCCTTTGTGAGGATTATTATTTTGTTGTGTGTTTTTAGTGTGTGAGATTATTATTGTTGAAGGAAAAAGAACAAAGTGTTCGGAGGTTCATTCTGTTGTAGTTTAAGGGATTCAAACTAGAAAAGCCACAAGGGTTTTTGTGGTCGGATAAGTAGTAGTGAAAATCATTGTTCAAGTAGAGTGTAGAGGGAGTCTATACTGTAAACACTTGAAGAGTGTTTGAGACGTTTGCATTAATAAAAGAGATCCGAAGGGAGAGTGGGACGCTCTCCTGAAGGTTCAATTTTCAGTGAAACTGCTTCCGCAATTGTTTGAATCTTCATTTAATTCAGTTTGGTTAAATTATATGCAACTCTGGATACTTGGCTTACAAGTATCAAACTTCAAACAATATAATAGAAGAGAAAGTAATTAAAAATATAAAATAAAATAAAAATCTTAACCTAATAAATAAGAAAAAAATAATTTTAAAAAATGAACCTAAATATTATTAAACACTTCTTTATAAACAACACTAGTATTCGATCATGTGCATTTGCACACATATAAAACACGTTTTTGTTTGTATTTATTAATTAGAAATGTACTTCTATCATATAAAAATTAATTGAGATTTAAAATTTTTATCATTCAAAATTAATTGAGATTTAAATTTTATTTTAACCGTGCAACATTTACATTAGTAACATGAATAAAATAATTTATATAATTGTGACATATATTAAGAAAATTAACATAAATAAAAAAAATTATTGGTGTTTCTGATTTTTAGAAAAAAAAAATATGTGTCAATCATATTTTTCTTCCAACAATGCAACCAAATATAGCTGTTACAGCTCTGAATGTGTCAATCAACTTTAAGTTCCAACATTAGCCGTTACACATCTGAATAGTTTGCTACCAAATTTAGAATTAATTTAATAACTGATTCAAAAAATAAATAATAAACATATATATATATATATATTAAGGTATAACGGTTTTAGTAGATTAATGAGTAACTCATTAAAAAAAAATATAACTCCTTTTGAAGAAAAATAAAATTAAATTTTATTAAATGCTTTATTAAATGCATAAGCCAATAATAATATATATAGATTTCTGCAGTCACACTCCAAAATCCAATTACCCAATACCCATATGATCATCTCCTTCTTCAACTCTCATCTTCTCAAATAATAATTAGTAACCCACAAAAAACCCCCAAATCTCACAAAAAACCTAATTCGCTAATCTGCGTGCCTTCTCTCAGCAGGGCCTTCGGGCCACCACGACGGCGGCGTCCTCCAAGCCGTGCAGTCGAGTCCCAGTGACGTCGGCCGTGGCTGTGGCCTTTTCATCGGGTGCGATGGCAGATCTTCCCCTTAGGTTTCGCCGTATTACAGGTTGCTAAGATGGGTCAGGATCCTGCGTTTTTCTCGAAGTCTGGGTGGTGGCGGGCTGCCGGCGTGGCTGTGAGTGACGACTGTGGCGCCTATTATCCCCTCGAAGGTTGGCGGGGTGGTAGTCGGGGCTGAGATCAGGGCGGTTTCACTCTTCTCCTTTCTCCCGTTTTGCTCTGCTTTTGGGGCCTTTGGGTTGTGTTAGTGGAGTCGGCTCGGGTCGGGGTGGGTCTTGTGTCCTGGACCTGGGTTGTCGGGTATTGGGAGGTGGAGTATGTTGTGGATCTCCGGTTGTGGGTCTTGGGGTTGTCTACCCGGGCGAGGGTTTGAGTTCTTTAGTCTCAGATTTGGTTAAGCGATTTATCTGCAGTTTCTGGATTTGCGGCTTGGACCGGGTCTTGTCAGGGTGGGTAGTCGGCCTTGGGTGTCGGTGTCGTTGGTGTTCGGCTTGGCTTCACTGTGCTGTGGGAAGGGCTTATTGTTAGTCGTTTTGTTTCTTTTTTGTTATGTTTGTGTTTTGTTGTTAGTGTTGCTTTGTTTTGAGTTTTTTGTTGTGTGGTGTTAGTATTGTTTGTGTGTGTCAGTGTTTTTTTTCTCCTCTTTAGGAGTGTGAATTCTCCCGCCGGGGAGTATGTATTCCTCATTAGTGTGGTTTTAGTTTTTGTGTGTTTTGTAGTGTGTTGTGATTTAGGCTACCTTCGGGAATAGACCTCTCTTTTCCGGTTAGTGAACCGTTTGTATTTTCGTGTGTATTAATAAAATCTATCGTTTGAAAAAAAAAAAAAAAAACCCATATGATCCCATGAACTAAGAAATAAAGAGAGTATCTTTGGGGACTCACAGGCATCATACCTGATACCTACATTGACTTGGAAAACGTAATTAAAATTCAGAAGAGAAGCATGTTATTTGACATTTTTGAGTTGGTGTTGGATTCGCGATTCGGACTTGATATAGCCTCTGAAAATGTGCATTTTTAAAGAATACATGGGGCGGGATAATTGATTTGAAGTTATTTGATAAATCGGGATATACATTGTCTTGTTTGGAACTTGCCGGGTTTGGAAAAATATGAGTTGAATTGATGTTTGAGTGCAGCGATTTTATTGATTTTCCGAGTATTTATACCTCTGAAAGTATGTGTATTTATGTTATAAGAGAGCCGGGACATTTACTTTGAGTTGGGTTTTACAAACCGAGTCATTGCCGAAGTTTCGGCATTATTTATTTTCAAATAATGTGGGGCTTAGTTGCTGCAATTTTCTGAGCAGCCCCAAATATGCTCTTTTTCATGGTAGCATTGGATTTTTAGAGTGCCTTTTAAGTGTTGTGAAAAAACGGGTTTTAATTTCTTAGTCGAGCCCTTTTTTATTGTCGAAATGTGGAGTCTTAACCTGCTCAATCTGAATCGAATTTTGCAAGTGTGAAATTGCTGTTAGACTTCGCTTGGAAATTAGGACAGAACATACAGTAATGAAGTTGGCGCCTAGAGAAACTGATAAACTGTTGCTCCACAGCGCTGGAGCTTTGGCACAGAAGCGTTTGGCGCGTGGGTTGAGGCTTAATCACGCTGAAGCTGTTGCTCTTATAGCAGTGCAGGTAACGGATTTTTCTTTAACTCGTGAAGTATTTTCGATTTTTCCACAATTCGCTTTAGGAGTTTCTGATATCATTATGCAATAGATTTGGATAACACTGCTGATTGGTTCATTTTTTTTTTTCCTTTATGTTTTTTTGTAGTGTGTTTTTATTATGAACACTGTTGTATTCTTAGAGATTCAGGTTGTTTCATTTATACTTCACGTGTGTATGTGTCTGCGAGTGTATTGTTCTGGTTTCCAGTTGTCTCTTTCCATATTTCTATATTTCCAATTCATGATCTTGGGCTGTTACAGATATTGGAATTGGTCCGTGATGGGAATAAAAGTGTGGCTGAACTTATGGATCTTAGGCGACAAATTTTGGGAAGGTAATGTGTAAATAAGCATTTAAATTCGACATTTGAAAATTAATTTTAATGTTTATGTGGAACTGCAGAGATGAGAATAGCGCAATGATTGTGATAATTTGGGCTTCATGTACACATGGAACTTTGAAATGTGATCTATGATTATTGATGATATAATTGGCACCTTCTGAGCTTTTGTATGTGGAGAGATAAATTGAAGAAAACAAAATGTGAGTGACGTTCTTGGTAAAGCTAAGATCTGCATGACCTTAAAGTTAACCTGATGTTGCAGAAGGCAAATATATTACTTTTCACTTGCTCGAATCTTTTGGGTTCTTGTACCAATGTTTAATGGAAGTGGCGACACATTTACAGTCAATTTTGTTTTTCACATTGCAAAAAGTTAAATTGCCATGAGGGAATAAGATTATCTGAGAAATAGTGTAATTTTAGTTTAAACATTAGTTTAATCAACAAGAAAACACCAAGAATTACGAAATTTCGAGTGTTAGAACCTATAGCATGCAGCATCTCTTGAGTGCTAGAAGACGACTTTTTTTATGGAACCACTACTTATTAGTAATTCTTTTGTGTGGGTTTCACGAGTGATTAATTGATTCGTGTGATTCTTTTCTTAGTAACCACTAGGTGATCACTTTCCAATGTATTGCATAAATGGGTATCTTGTGTTTACAGGAGACAAGTTCTTCCATCTGTTCCTTATCTCATGGATTCAGTTCAGGTATTGGATGAAATAAACTATTAAGTTAATGATAAGAAACAAGGATGATTTGGTAATATTGGATTTTGATCTACAAATAGGTTGAGGGGACCTTTCCAGACGGGACAAAGTTGATAACAATCCATGATCCTATATCAAGTGAAAATGGAAATCTGGAGCTAGCTTTACATGGGTCTTTTCTTCCAGGTATTATAATCTTTTCTAGATAACCTGTTCTATTTTTAGTTCAGCTACAACTTGTTTTCTTGATTCTGGCCTCAACATTATAGGGTTTTGTACAGGAAGCATCAAAAGTTGGAGTCATATGGGTCAACTTGGGCTTCTTAAGGATTATAATTGGTTTACTAAGTTGAAACAGTTACATTCTATATGAACCTTAAGCTATCAATAAGACATTTGTACTATGCAAAGGTAATCCAAATTATAACAAAATATTTATGTGAAGAAACTAGCTGATTTTGCCCCAATTAAAACTAAACTTTTACATAAAGAAACTAGCTAATTACCAAAAGCAGAAGACTCAAACATCAAATTAAAAGTTGATGCATAAAATCAGATTTCAAAATAATTTTCTTGGGAGAAATTGCAATATTGCAAGCATTACAAATTCTATGAAAAACAGTAAATAAAGACAAAAATAGAAAAACTTATCAAAGAACCTGAAAAAACTTGTTCTCGCACACATCACCTATTTGCAATGCAAAAAACATACTTGCATTACAAAAATCAAGTTTCGAAACAAAAGTTTAAGCATTAAAAAATTCTATGGAAAGTAGCAAAAAACGACCAAAGTAGAAAAATTTATCAACGTCCCCAAAAACACTTGGTCTCGCACAATTCACCTATTTGCAATGCGGATAACATACTTTCATCACAAAAATCATATTTCGAAACTAAAGTTTAAGGAATAAAAAATTCTATAGAAAATACTAAATAAAGTCCAAAATAAAAAATTTATCAACGTCCCCAAAAAAACTTGGTCTCGCACACATCACCTATTTGCAATACGGATAATATACTTTCATAGCAAAAATCATATTTCGAAACTAAAGTTTAAAAATTTAAAAGTTCTATGGAAAATAGTAAATAAAGACCAAAATAGAAAAATTTATCAATGTCCCCGAAAAAACATGGTCTCGCACACATCACCTATTTGCAATGCGAATAATATACTTTCATCACAAAAATCAAGTTTCGAAACAAAAGTTGAAGCATTAAAAAATTCTATGGAAATAGTAAATAAAGACCAAAATAGAAAAAATTTATCAACATCCTCAAAAAAACTTTGTCTCGCACACATCAGTTATTGGTAGTGCGGATAACATACTTTCATACCAAAAATCATGTTTCGAAACAAAAGTTTAAGCATTAAAAAATTCTATGGAAAATAGTAAATAAAGACTAAAATAGAAACAATTATCAAATTCCCGGAAAAACTTGGTCTCGTACACATCACCTATTTGCAATATGAATAACATACTTTCATCACAATAACCAAGTTTCAAAACAAAAGTTTAAGCATTAAAAAATTCAATGGGAAATAGTAAATATAGACCAAAATAGAAAAATTTATCAACATCACAGATAAAAGTTGGTCTCGCACACATCACCTATTTTAAATGCGAAAATACTTTCATCACACAAATCAATTTTCGAAACAAAATTTTATGCATAAAGAAATTCTGTGGAAAATAGTTAATAAAGACCAAAGTAGAAAAATTTATCAACGTTCCTGACAAAACTTGGTCTCGCACACATCACCTATTTGCAATGCCAATAACATATTTTCATCCCAAAAATCGTGTTTCGAAACAAAACTTTTAAGCATTACAAAACTTGATGGAGAATAGTAAATAAAGACCAAAATGAACAAATTATCAACATCCGCGAAAAAACTTGGTCTTGCACAAATCACATGATTGCAATGCGAGTAACATACTTTCATCACAAATATCAAGTTTCGAAACAAAAGTTTACGCATTAAATTATTCTATGGAAAATAGTAAATAACGACCAAAGTAGAAAAATTTATCAACGTCCCCAGAAACACTTGGTCTCGCACACTTCACCTATTTGCAATGCGGATAACATACTTTCATCACAAAAATCATATTTCGAAACTAAAGTTTAAGGAATAAAAATTCAATGGAAAATACTAAATAAAGTCCAAAATAGAAAATTTATCAACGTCCCCAAAAAAACTTGGTCTTCCACACATCACCTATTTGCAATACGAATAACATACTTTCATCGCAAAAATCATATTTCGAAACAAAAGTTTAAGAATTAAAAAGTTCTATGGAAAATAGTAAATAAAGACCAAAATAGAAAAATTTAACAATGTCCCCGAAAAAACATGGTCTCGCACACATCACCTATTTGCAATGCGAATAATATACTTTCATCACAAAAATAAAGTTTCGAAACAAAAGTTGAAGCTTTAAAAAATTCTATGGAAATAGTAAATAAAGATCAAAATAGAAAAATTTATCAACATCCTCGAAAAAACTTTGTCTCGCACACATCACCTATTGGAAATGCGAATAACATACTTTCATCCCAAAAATCATGTTTCGAAAGAAGAGTTTAAGCATTAAAAAGTTCTATGGAAAATAGTAAATAAAGACTAAAATAGAAAAATTTATCGAATTCCCGGAAAAACTTGGTCTCGTACACATCACCTATTTGCAATACGAATAACATACTTTCATCACAATAACCAAGTTTCAAAACAAAAGTTTACGCATTAAAAAATTCAATGGGAAATAGTAAATATAGACCAAAATAGAAATATTTATCAACATCCCCGATAAAAGTTGGTCTCGCACACATCACCTATTTTAAATGCAAAAATACTTTCATCACACAAATCAAGTTTCGAAACAAAGGTTTATGCATAAAGAAATTCTGTGGAAAATAGTTAATAAAGACCAAAGTAGAAAAATTTATCAACGTTCCTGACAAGACTTGGTCTCGCACACATCACCTATTTGCAATGCCAATAGCATATTTTCATCCCAAAAATCGTGTTTCGTAACAAAACTTTTAAGCATTACAAAACTTGATGGAGAATAGTAAATAAAGACCAAAATGAACAAATTATCAACATCCGCGAAAAAACTTGGTCTCGCACAAATCACATGTTTGCAATGCGAATAACATACTTTCATCACAAATATCAAGTTTCGAAACAAAAGTTTACGCATTAAATTATTCTATGGAAAATAGTAAATAAAGATCAAAATAGAAAAACTTATCAACATCCCCGAAAAAACTTTGTCTCGCACACATCACCTATTTGCAATGCAAAAAACATACTTGCATCACAAAAATCAAGTTTCGAAACAAAAGTTGAAGCATTAAAAAATTCTATGGAAATAGTAAATAAAGACCAAAATAGAAAAATATATCAACATCCTCGAAAAAACTTTGTCTCACACACATCACCTATTGGAAATGCGAATAACATACTTTCATCCCAAAAATCATGTTTCGAAACAAAAGTTTAAGCATTAAAAAATTCTATGGAAAATATTATATGAAGACAAAAATGAAAAATTTATCAACATCCCTGAAAAAACTTGGTCTCTTACACATCACCTATTTGCAATGCGAATACCATACTTTCATAAAAAAAAATCAAGTTGAGAAACAAAAGTTTAAGCATTACAAATTCTATGAAAAACAGTAAATAAAGACAAAAATAGAAAAATTTATCAAAGAACCTGAAAAAACTTGTTTTCGCACACATCAACTATTTGCAATGCGAATAACATACTTCATCCCAAACATCTTGTATCGAAACAAAAGTTTAAGCAATAAAAAATTCTATAAAAATAGTAAATAAAGACCAAAATGAAATATTTATCAACATTCCCAAAAAACTTGGTCTCGCACACATCACCTATTTGCAATGCGAATAACAAACTTTCATCACAGAAATCAAGTTTCAAAACAAAAGTTTAAGCAAAAAATATTCTATGGAAAATAGTAAATAAAGACAAAAATAGAAAAATTTATCAACATCCCTGAAAAAACTTGGTCTCTTACACATCACCTATTTGCAATGCGAATACCATACTTTCATCAAAAAAATCAAGTTGCGAAACAAAAGTTTAAGCATTACAAATTCTATGAAAAACAGTAAATAAAGACAAAAATAGAAAAATTTATCAAAGAACCTGAAAAAACTTGTTTTCGCACACATCAACTATTTGCAATGCGAATAACATACTTCATCCCAAACCTCTTGTATCGAAACAAAAGTTTAAGCAATAAAAAATTCTATAAAAATAGAAAATAAAGACCAAAATGAAATATTTATCAACATTCTCGAAAAAACATGGTCTCGCACACATCACCTATTTGCAATTCGAATAACATACTTTCATCACAAAAATCAAGTTTCGAAACAAAAGTTTACGCATTAAAAAATTCTATAGAAAATAGAAAATAAAGATCAAAATAGAAAAATTTATCAACATACCCGAAAAAACTTGGTCTCGCACACATCATCTATTTGCAATGCAAAAAACATACTTTCATCGCAAAAATCATGTTTCGAAACAAAATTGTAAACATTAAAAAATTCTATGGAAAATAGTAAATAACGATCAAAGTAGAAAAATTTATCAACGTCCCCAAAAACACTTGGTCTCGCAGACATCACCTATTTGCAATACGAATAACATACTTTCATCGCAAAAATCATATTTTGAAACTAAAGTTTAAGAATTAAAAAATTCTATAGAAAATTGTAAATAAAGACTAAAACAGAAAAATTTATCAATGTCCCCGAAAAAACTTGATCTCGCACACATCACCTATTTTAAATGAGAAAATACTTTCATCACACAAATCAAGTTTCGAAAAAAAAGTTTATGCATAAGGTAATTCTGTGGAAAATAGTTAATAAAGACCAAAGTAGAAAGATTTATCAACGTTCCTGACAAAACTTGGTCTCGCACACATCACCTATTTGCAATGCCAATAACATATTTTCATCCCAAAAATCGTGTTTCGAAATAAAACTTTTGAGCATTACTAAACTTGATGGAGAATAGTAAATAAAGACAAAAATGAACAAATTATCAACATCCGCGAAAAAACATGGTCTCGCACAAATCACATGTTTACAATGCGAATAACATACTTTCATCCCAAAATCATGTTTCGAAACAAAATTTTAAGCATTAAAAAATTCTATGGAAAATAGTAAATAAAGACTAAAATAGAAAAATTTATCAAATTCCCGGAAAAATTTGGTCTCGTACACATCACCTATTTGCAATACGAATAACATACTTTCATCACAATATCCAAGTTTCAAAACAAAAGTTTAAGCATTAAAAAATTCAATGGGAAATAGTAAAT